CCTAGTGCACAATCCTTTCTAGGAACAGGTGTGGGTCACTGTCAACATGAGCCTTATAGGAAACCAATAGCCACAGGTGTCTCCTGCTTTCAAGGAGAGACCCTCAGAATGCTGTGCATGCACAAGGGAGGGCTCCCTACCCCTCCCTTGATGCAGAGTGGAGAACTTCCTAAATGAGAGGTAACTGAGCATGAATTGGCTAGGCAGAAATGGCATTTACCAGGCAGAAGGGACAACATGAGAAAAGGCAAGGCTGAAACACCAGGGCACATTCTTGGAACTGCAAAGCATCGAGTGTGGTTGCAGTTGAGGGTATGAGTTGAGGACCAGTGAGAAGCAAAGCAGGAGAGAGAAACAGGGGCCAGATCATGAAAGGTCTTGAAAGTTCATGTGTTATGCTCAAGGAAATGAGGAGCCATTGATGGTTCTTACATACGGGAGTAATATAATCAAACCTGTGGTATAAGAAGGATCATTCTGGATGCATGTGGAAGTTGGAGTATAGGGTGGATAAGTTAGGATGCTGGGGAGAAGAGATGGGGCTGATGTAGGGACGAGAGGCAGGGATGATGGAGAGAAGGGGATGGTGCAGACAACACTGAAGAAGTAGAATTGATGGGCCTTGTTGACCATTAGGATGTGGGCATTGAGGGAAAGGGCACAGATGGTCTCCAGGTTGATGACCGGGTTGGGGGGTGTCATTCCCCAAGAGACGTTATGCAGGAGGTAGACCAGGTCCAAGGAGGGGAGATGGTGAGGAATGTAGCCTACGGCTAAATGTAACCTGTGGTTGGCCAACTTCTCTTGGCTGTCTCTATACTGGATACCCTGAAGTTCACATTAGCATCTGGACCAGGGAGTTTGGAACGTGTTAAGATGATTTTGACAGCTAGATTTATCCATCTGTTTTCCATCTTCAGGCTTTATCACTGATGGGAACTCCAAGCTGGTTGGCAGTGCCCAGATTCGCCAAGTGAGGGTCCGGGAAGGCTCTTGCCCTCTTGCCCCACAGCTGCAGGCTTCTCTCGATGGATGCCGGGCGCCATATTCCATGGATGTTGAAGACCTGTCAGACTATGGGGAAGGCTGGAATGCCTCTGCCCTTCACAACAGCAATGGCTTTTCCCAGGCTTGGCAGTACCAGAGCCAGAGCCAACGCCGAGGGTATCCCATCTGGGGCAAACTCACTGTGTACCCAGGAGGAGGTTACGTGGTCCCCTTGGGCACTGATCGCCAAAGCACGTCAAGGTAAGGCTGACTCGATTCATGTGCAGCTGCAGAAAGCCATTTGCTAGAGTTCAGGTCTTGTTGGCAGGGGCAGGCTTAAAAAAACGGCCGAGCCAAGCTCATTTTGTCATTGTGGGGGATTCAGAATCATTCAGGTCATGTTTTCAGGTTCCTGGAAACTGTGCAGTCTCAGAATTGGAAGGGTAGTCCCTCTTCGGCATTCTCAGCCTGGTGATCTGAGTCTGGTGGCCTCTGCTGGAGCCAGCAGGGATGGGGAGCTCACTACCACACAAAGCTGTCCACCACCAGGCAAGTGGGGAGTAATAAAGGTTTAACCTTATCAAGAATCATGTAGTGTCAGAGGCTTTACCCTACTTGTACACTAATAAGCTAGGTTGTTACTGTTTCATAAATGTTGGCAGAAGACACAAGACTCCTGGGTCAGAGACAAAGGACGTTATTACTCACTACAAGAGCAATAGCAGAGCTTCTCGGTGGTTTGAGTCAAATTCCCGCAAAGGGCCATGATAGATGCTTGCGTTACATGAGTTACAGTACCAGAAAGGAACACTGATCTTGGAGCACCTGCTGCTTTGACAGTGGCAGAAGCAAGCCTGCCCTTTGTCCAAAGGAAGATGTCACCTCTGTCCTCGAGGCTGCTCGCTGCAAACACAGCCCTGAGAAATGGCCTGGATGAAGCCCGACCAAGGCCTGGCCTTCTTAGAAGACCCAGCACACATGTGCAGGACGCTCAGGGCCCCTGCAGACTGCCTCCCCCAGCGTGTTCTAGAGTCCGAGAGCTCCAGGTTGGAAAGCCTGGCACCGCTCCTGTTAGCTGTGTAGCCCCAGGCAAGTTAGTGAGCCCGTATGAACCTGTCTACCCCACTGCACTGTTACAACACCGAGGTTATTTATGATGGCAGGACCCCACCCCGTCCACAACACAGGTAACAAACCCCCACGGAGAACAACTGGCAGGGCTCCCCTGGGATGAAGGACGGGCCAGGAATAGTCTATTTCAGAATAAGCGGTCTTTTCCTGCCACATGGAATGGCTGATCCTCTCTCTCTGCTTCTATGAATCAAGTAGGACGCAGACCCACGGGAACAGGGCATATTTTAAAACAGGCCCATCGTTATTGCACACACACATCATTCCATTTTTTTCTTCACAATGATCCTGAGCTCCAGGCATTAACAGCATTGTAGATGAGGAAACTGCAGCCCGGAGAAGTTATTAGCTTGCCCCTGGGGCAGCCAGGATTTGAATCCAGACGCCTCCTCCAGCACATGCTTTTTTCACCACGCCAGTGGGCAGATCTCCAGGAACTGGTTTCACGTGAGCCGCCAGCCCAAGAGGGACCTTGGCAGCTGCAGCTGCTGCCTGCCTAAGCCCCCGATGTTTCTGTGGCTCCTCTAACACTGTGGTCCTCAAACTTTAAAAAGCATCACCATCCCCTGGAGGGCTCATCAAAGGACAGATTCCCAGGCCCCACCCCGAGAGTTTCTGACTGGGGAGATCTGGGGTGGGGTGTGAGAATCTGCATCTCTAACAAGTTTCCAGATGATGCTGATGCTGCCCGTCTGGGGATCACACTTTGAGAACTTCTGCTCTTACAGCCCAGAAACCATGCGTGCCAAGACATTGCACCATGGGATGGGAAACTGTGACCGCTCCCAGGAGCAGCCCCAAGGTCCTGTGGCCCAGGGAGGAGAGCAGAGGCAGAGGGAGAAGTTTGGACAGGAAGCCCTGCCTCCTCCCTGGGCTGAGGGGGGAGGGAGCCCCTGGGGATGGAGATGCCCCTAAACACCCCTCTTCCCACAGAATTCTCCAGTATCTCTTTGACAACACCTGGCTGGACAGGCTGACCAGAGCCGTGTTTGTGGAGTTCACTGTCTACAATGCCAACGTCAACCTGTTCTGCATCGTCACTCTGACCCTGGAGACCAGCGCCTTGGGTGGGCAGCCTTGCCTGTGAACACTGCTGCAGTGTTCTGGAACACAAACACCCCCCCACCCCGGGCTAGGACTCCTGACCCAGCTGGACGCAGCCATCCCAGGGCCAGAGCGCCAGGGCAAATGGTTGGGAAACTCAGGGATGGGTCTTGGTTCTCCCTGGGGACCCAAAGGCAAGGCTTCAGGGCTGCTTCAGCCTTTTTCCTAGCTCCCCTTCTTCTCTTTGGCCTTGTCTCCCAAGTTATCCTAAGGGAACCCAGTGCGGGTCTGAAGGCAGCTCATATGTCCCAGTCTACTGGGGGTGGGCGTGGGGAGGCGGCAGTGAGGGGCTGGGGAGGGGGCGACCTGGTAATAGATACCTTCACCTAAAACAATATCTTACAGCTTGTACCTCAATCTACAGTGTGAAGGACATCTTATATCATAGTCCAACGCACACACACACACACAAATATACACAACAGATCAAAGCTTCAAAAATAACCTTTCCTTACTTACATCTGATGCACTCTGATATTCTGTGTTCCAGCCGAGTTCTTTCTCTCCATTCCTCCACTTTCCACCCTCTTTTAATGCTAACCACAGTCTATTGAAAACACTGACCTAAGGCCTCTTTAGCTAATAATCAATTTACCTAAAACTCAACCACCACTCCTTTAAAAATAAAACTTTTCAACATTGTTACATTTTTAATAAAAGCAATATGTTTGTAGTTTTAAAAAAATTTTCAGAACTGTGTAAAGAGAAAAGTAAAAGGGCTTCAACCTCCGTTACCATTCCCCAGTCTCCAAATTTCTTTCAAATCCTTTTTGGGGGGCCTTTGTATCTCCTGTGTTCTCTTATTTCTTTTTGTCATTTCTCTGGCTTTTCCAAAACCACATCTGATTCAATTATGGATTTCTACAAATGAAAGGGGGGGTGGATTTCAGGCCGGGTCGATTCAGCAGCCTGGCGATGTCAGCAAGAACTCAGGCCGTTCGCAGCTCTCCACGCTGCCAAGCTTGGGGTTGGCTTTGTCTTTGCAGGCAGTAGCCTGATTAGTCAAACTTGTTTAAAAAATTATCACTAAAAAATCATTACAATACTTAGAAAAAAAAGAGGGAAAGACACACAAACGGATGAAAGATGATTCAAAAGAAGGTTGAACTTTTGGCGCATTGGTCAATGGATGAATTGATCTTCAGTGAACTGTCTTTAGACAAAACGGCTTTAAATGAGCCAGAGTGGAGTAGATGGATGTCAAGTGGGTGGGTGTGCTCTGGCTGGAGGGGACTGAGTGCACAAAGGGCCGACACCAGAGAGTAGGGGGCTGGTCTTCCAGTGCAGCTTCCTTTGTCCCTTCTGATCTGCCCATTATCTTTGGTGTCCACCACGTGTCCTCGTTCAGTCCCTCAGGTCTGTGAGTCTGAAGGACCTTTATCTCCGCCTGGTCAGCCCTCAGAAGGCCTTGAGCTGGAGTCATCCTGCTGATGACTTCTGGTCGGGAGCGGTGGCTCTGAGTAGGCAGGTGGCTGGGGGTGAGAGGAAGTCACTCTGCTTTCCAGGAACCTTCTTTGCGCACGCGGACCTGCAGAGCCTGCGCCTGTACCCCTTCACCGATGGCTGGCACCCCTTCGTGGTGGCGGCAGAGGTCGTCTACCTCCTGTTCCTCCTCTACTACATGATCGTGCAGGTGAGGGGTGGGCTTGTGGCTCCACGGGCAAGGGATGGAGACGGCTGTAGGTCATGTCCCCTCTCCCACCTCTTCCCTCTTCCCTGGTCGGGGAGGGAGGGGCCACAAGAAGGGAGAGAGAAAGATTCTCCTTACTTGTTGCCATGACAACTTTGGGGGGCCTTCTGCTGGTCCTGAGGGCTGACCTGGCTTGGGACTCAGCTTCAGCACATCTCAGGATCTAAGAACTTGGAGAGTGGTCCTTCCTGGGTGGGAAAGGGAGAGGAGCAGGGCTCCTGTTTCGGCTGAACTGAGACCTTCCAAAAATGCCGGAGGTCGGGGAGAGGAGACGTGGCCATCCCCACAGCTGGGGGGTTCTCTGAACTTAGATTGCGGGGGTTCTTAGCACTTTTGTTCTCACCTGTGGTCCCCAGGATTGAGGAAGGATCCCCTCTGCCACCTTTACCACCATGTTATACAACGAAGGTGCCGATGTCGATAATGATGATGGCTTGAGGATGCTGGGCAGGCATCCAAAGCTTGTTATATGCCCCACCCACTCCTCTCACCAAAAATGGAAACCAGATACCTAAAAGGAGCATCTTAGCCCCCCATCCCCTGTTCCAACAACTACTTTAAAGTAAGGATGATACTTTGAGTGCTTACTACAAGGCAGGCATTGTGCTAAGAATCTTATGTGGATTTTCTCCTTTAACAACTCCAAGGGAAAGGTCCTATTGGCTCCACTTCACAGAGTAGGAAGCTAAAGTCCAGAGATGTGAAGTAATTTATCCAAGGTCAGAAATGAATCCAGAGAGTCTGACACCCGATCTTGACATTTAACCCCTATGCCACACCATCAACCTCATAAACCGGGAGCCCACATGGTCTCTGAGCATCAATTCAAAGGCAAAGGCCAGTAGTTATCAAATAGCAGCGTAGGTTCTTGGAGTTCTCTAAGAACATTAAAGGAGGCCCATTCACCACCCCCTCCAAGATTCATTTCTCTGCTCTAGATTGTCCTCACACTCTGCCTGTGGCTGTTTCAGAAACTTCTCTTCAAAACCCTTAAATCTTTTTCAAGATGCTGCTTGAGTAGTTTTAAAAATCTCCCTCTCACTCCATCCCTTTATAACGGAGGGGAGCTTACCCTCTCACCAGCCAAACACCGGTTCTTCCTCCGTGAGAGCAGGCAGGAGGAGGGAAATGGAACACATCACAGAAGCTTCTCTTGAGGGGAAGGGAAAAGAAGGGACAGGAGGGGGGCTGAGAACATGCACAGGATAATTTTTTTTGACTTGTGACACCTGTTGAGGAAACAGAATTAAAAACAAAGTCTCCTGCCAATCCAGAAAACCTCTCCACAAAGGTAGGAAAAAAAGAAAACTCCTTTTACAAAATGACTTCTTTTTAATTGTGGTAAATATACATAACATAAAATTTACCATTTTAACCATTTGGACACGGACAGTTCAGTGGCATATTAAGTACATTCACATCGTGGCGCGACCATCACCACCATCCGTCGCCAGAACTTTTGTCCTCTTACAAAACTGAATCTGTACCATTCAACAAAGACTTCCCCTTCCCCCTAAGAAAACAACTGTTATTACCGAATAAGCACTAAGCCAGAATGGGACGCCCATCCCAGGCAATCCACTACAGAGACTACAAAGACAGAAAGAAATCTCACCCCTACACATCGCCAGGCAGATACAACCATCACATACGTGTTCTTAAAATAAATGCTAATTAATCCTTAAGAGGACTTACAGCACCTTTTGTCCCACTAATCCATCCTAAATCCACCTGGTAATTGGGGCGGCCACCCCAGTTTGCCAAAGAACTTTATCCAAAGGAAAAATAAACTTCTCCTATGTTTACAAGAGGAGGTAGTTTCTGCCATCGGCTCCCACCCTCCCGGGGAAACTGGAAGACAGGGCACTCTCTTTGTAGATGATTACAGTTCAAAGAGATGGCTTCCAGTCCCTGAGAAAAACATTCGGGTTGTAAAATGGGCTTGTTTCACTTTTGAAAAAGATTTATATGCCTCTCAGCAGCGGCCTAGCGGTTAAGATTCAGAACTCTCGCCACCACAACCCAGGCTCCTTTCCTGGCCAGGGACCACACCACCCATCCATTAGCTGTCATACGGAGGCTGCTGTGGCGCTGAAAGCTATGCTACGAGTATTTCGAATACCAGTAGGTCCACCCCTGGTGGACAGGATTCAGCGGACTCTTTCAGACTAAGACAGACTAGGAAGAAGGACATGGCCCCCCACTTCCGAAAAAATGGGCCCTGAAGACGCGGCAGGTTTGAGCTGTACTGTACACAGGGTCTTGAGGAGTCAGAACTGACTTGAAGGCACTAACAAAAAAAATACATCTCAAAGGAGCAGAGAAAGTATTCACAATTACAAGTTTTCTAAAGTAAAAGGCTTTATGGGGCGGGAATCGTTCCATCTTTTTGCATCAGAGAGAATTAAACATTTTTCTTGTTAGATTCTGTATTTACTCTCACACCCCCCCAGACCTTGCAGCTCGGATTGTGATGGGAGCAGACGGGGTCTGTGCACAAGGCTGGGGAGAGGCCCCTGGCATTCTATGCATGTGGGGCCAGGGCTCTGAGAAACCTCCAAGGACTCAGTAAGCCCCTCCCAGGGGGTCCTCCTGGAGGGTGTGGGAGCCACCGTGGGGCCGGGTGGGGGGCACAGTTCTGGCCACAGCCTTGGGCAGAACCTCTGGCTCCTGTCTCAGGGCAAGCTCATGAGGGAGCAGAAGTGGCGCTATTTCTGCAGCAAGTGGAACCTTCTGGAGCTGGCCATCATCCTGGCCAGCTGGAGCGCCCTGGCGGTGTTTGTGAAGAGGGCCAGCCTGGCGGAGCGGGACATCCAGCGCTACCGGAAACATGGGGAAGAGTAAGTGGCCCTACCTCAGCCCCAGCCCCCACTCCCCACCCCAGGGCCCAGGGGCAGAGGGAGGCTTCTGAAACCTTGTTGACCCTGAGAGGATCACGGGTCACTCTTTAAAAAACAACTGTAGCTACCACTGAGACTCAGGTTTGGGGCCTGAAGTGTAGACAATTGGAGAGGACTCTTTAAGACAAAATAGAACAATATCTTTTGCAAATCTTCCCAAAACATAGGGTCATGTGACACCCCGTTAAGGTCCCTCCCAGCCTTTTGGGCAGGGTCTTCGCGAGTATTAGCACCCCAGTCAACTCACGCCTGCTCCTATTGACCAAGTGTCCACTCCCTGTTAGGCAGGACACAGATCCTCACGTGAGAACCGATGGAGGTAAGTGTTATCAGTACCCTATTTTACAAATAAGAAATTGAGGCTCAGAAAGGTAATGTGACTTCCCCAAGGCCACACAGCTAAAAAGTGGCAGAAAAGTAATTTAAACCTACCTTGTGTGTCTCCAGGATCCCAGGTCTTACTTGGAACCATTGTGTTTTGACTCACTCACTGATTTTATAGATAGAGCCAACATTTATTGAGTTATTGTTGGATGCCATATACACTGTCATAAAAACACCACTTTAAAAGCATTCTCTCATCTACTTTAATCTTCCCGAAACTTCTAAGAGACAATATTATCATCAACCCTTTTTTTACAGATGAGGAAATTGAGGCTCAGAGAGGTTAAGTTGTCTGTGCAAGGTCACACAGCAAGGAAATGCAGAGCCTAGAATTTGAACTCTGCACTCCTAACCTCCACTCTAGACTGTCTGATTCATTCAACAAACCCACGTTAAGCTCTTCTTTGTGCCACACTCATGTTGCCACACCAAATATATGACAAAAACCCCACCCTCTCTAGAGACCCTCTTTCATAGAAATGTCTCGGTATCAACTGAGTTCTTTGAGTTCAGAAATTATCAAAAGTACTTTTGTTTTTATTTAAGCTGATTGTAAGCCTTATGCGGAACAGTTATTTTAAAAACTTAAAGATGTTTTAGCTCTTGAAGGGGTTTGCAGGAGACAATCTAGGGGCCAAATCCAGCCCGTCACCTGTTTTCATAAATCCAGCTTTACTGGAACACCCCCTCACTCACTCGTTCTTTTCTGGATTGTCTACGGCTGCTTTGCTGCTAACACTGCAGAGCTGAGTCATTGGCACGGAAACTGTCTGGCCCTCAAAGCCTCAAATGCATCCCGTCCAGCCCTTTACAGAAGAACTTTGTCTTGATTCTCACTCAGAGAACAAAGCCCGGGTTCTGGGAAGGAACAATGGGGAGTCTTAGGTCATACGTGGCTGAGATCATTGTCAGCCAGTGTGATTTTTGAACTGTCGCTGTCCCCACGCTAGCCATGCTTTATGATTCCTCACAGTGATCTAAAACCCATTTGATTCTTGACATCCACACAGACAGGTTTCTTGCTTCGATGGGTTATAAAACAATTATACAGCAAGAAGAGTTCTTTTTTTTTTTTTTTATATTGGCTTTGAGCTAACATCTGTTACCAATTTTCTTTTCTGTCTTTTTTTTTTTTCTTTTTCTCCCCAAAGCCCCCCAGTACATAGTTGTAGATTCTAGTTGCAGGTCCTTCTGGTTGTGCTGTGTGGGACGCCACCTCAGCATGGCCTGATGAGAGGTGCCATGTCCGAAGTGGTGAAACCCTGGGCCACCAAAGCAGAGCGCTCGAACTTAACCACTAGGCCACTGGGCCAGGCCCGAGAGTTCTCTTTTTACACTGAGTGTCAGAAAACAAAACAAAAAAATCTGCCACTTCAGATAGAAACCTGAGTATAGTTAAGTTTGGTGTTATGCGAGATCCTCATTTGAATTTGATTAACCAATTGACCAAAGTTTTGTGTTTATTTCAGGAACTTGTAAATTTTGTTTTCTTGTTGGAATACACAAGCCATTTTATAGCCAGATCTTGAATTTTAAAAGTACTTTTTAAGACCAAAAGATTTGCTTCATAGTCTCCCTTTAATCCAGTGGTTCTCAGGCCTGGCCCCTCAGCAGAGTCACCCTGGGAGATGACACAACCGTGATGCCCAGGCCATACCCCAGACCCACGAACAGGATGTCTGGGGATGGGGCCCTGGCACCAGTAGTTTTACTGTTCCCCTGGTTATTACAACATGTAGCCGGGGTTGAGAACCATGCTTTAATTAGAGCTAACTGCCATCATGACGGAGGGCTTATGTGGTTATTATTTCCACATACATGAGCAATTAAAGGGCTTGAGAGAGGCTTGGTATTTTAAAAGAGGCAGGAAAAAGGTGCTGCAGGAGCTGCAGGAGGAAGCAACCATCCATACCAGCAGCCCCAGTCTGCTCAAAGGGGAGGAAGATTCTGGAAGGCAGATTAGGTAGAAGGATGGCTTTCACTTGGCATTATACATGTATATTAAAAGCTTTTACAAACTTGAGATTATATCATTTGGTTCTATAATTTGTTCTCCTTCCTCATCAATAGATACAGGTCTATGTTATTTTTAATGACAGGCCAACATTAAGACTGAATTTAAATGCAAAGGCAGGAGAGGCGAATGAAAGGCAAGTGGGATGTCGGAGAGAACCTGGACTTTGGAATCAGACACACCTGGATTCCATCTCTCATTCTTCTACCACTAGTTACGTCATTACCTATGTCACTAGCCATGTGACCTTGTGCCAACTCTCTGTCCTTTTCTGTAAAACGGAGGTAGCAATACTTACCTCATCCAGTGGTCTTAAGGTCAAAGGAGGCAACGCAAATAAGGTCTATCATAACCATCATCCTCACCATCACCATCATCATCACTCTCATCTGCATCACCATCATCATCACTATCATAACCATCATCCTCACCATCACCGTCATCATCACTGTCATCTCCATCACCATCATCATCACTATCATAACCATCATCCTCACCATCACCGTCATCATCACTGTCATCTCCATCACCATAATCATCACTATCATAACCATCATCCTCACCATCACCGTCATCATCACTCTCATCTCCATCACCATCATCACTATCATAACCATCATCCTCACCTTCACCGTCATCATCACTGTCATCTCCATCACCATAATCATCACTATCATAACCATCATCCTCACCATCACCGTCATCATCACTGTCATCTCCATCACCATCATCATCACTATCATAACCATCATCCTCACCATCACCGTCATCATCACTCTCATCTCCATCACCATCATCATCACTATCATAACCATCATCCTCACCATCACCGTCATCATCACTGTCATCTCCATCACCATCATCATCACTATCATAACCATCATCCTCACCATCACCGTCATCATCACTCTCATCTCCATCACCATCATCA